GCATTAGAAATAACAAGTAGAGGAACCAGAGCTACTGGTGCAGAACATGAAACTGGATATTATAGGGATAATATCAATCTGCAAGAATAGTAATCATGGCTTTAACATGCATTCAAGATTATGTGTGGTTCAGATAGGGTAGATGTAAAAGGTGATAGGCTGTATTGTATGCACTGGACTGTGAAGAAGAAAGAAGAGTAATACTGATAACGCAGGATCTGTTTCTGGTCAAAATTGCTGTGGGGAAGAATGGTAAAAGAGGTCCCAGAGGGAGTACTGAGAGTCTGCTGTAATCCCTCATAGGATTGGATTCAGATACAAACGTGAGGCTCTGAAATGATGTTATTCCCAGTACCATTAGAGAGATAAATATTAGTATGAGAAACTTTAATTTCTCAGATATAGCTTGGAGGACAAATGCTGCTAATTATAATAGGGTCAAAAAATATCGTCACTGTAGCATCATCACCTGTTGTTGAGACGGCGAGTGAATTATTGGTGCTATGACTGTTACAGGAAAACAAGCTGTTCAGAAGCCTCCATGTCCCCACCTTTGGATGGGGTGATCATGATGCAAGCTTTGATACATGAAGCAAAATATTTAGTGAAGCCAGGGAACCGGATTGAAAACTCAGACTTGAATGTAGAAGTGTGTGGTTTGGGTTTGGGTTTTATTTGTTGTTGGGGTTTTTTTGTTAGAGGTGCTTTGGATACAAATTCTTGATGATATAAGTAAACGGGGAAAAAAACTTGTAAGAAGAAACTTCAGCCTAACTGGAGGCATAATCACCTTATAAAGGCTGTTGGGTGCAAGAAAATAATTCAGAAAAGAGAATTTATCAGCAGAGATTGCTGTGCCTTTAAAGTCAGTAGGGCTAAAATGAGAACTGCCAAAAATCAGGCTGAGTTAAACCTTGCAAATGTTGTTAAGGAAATCAGTGACAGTTTCTCAAAATACAGTTAGAGAGAAGGGAAGATGAGGGGCAGCTTAGTGTTGGGGATGGGGTAGTTAATGAGGATGCTCTTGTTGTGATTGCAGAATTGAACAAATCTTTTTTTTGTTGTTGCTGTTGAAGGTAGAGTTGATCATGGGAGCAAGGGCAGGATGGGTAACGGGCATGAATCTACCGTAGAAGCAACCACGTTGGACATTTCAAAGACGTGCAGGCTGGGCTGGGGAGCAGGGTTGCCTGGGGAAGGGTGATGCCTATTCCTGAAAGTGAAAGAACCGGTTCATGAAGTTGCAGATCTGATACAAGTTCTAATCTATCAAATCAGGAGTGCTATCATATGTTTGGAGAATAGGAAGCATAATAGCCCTATTGGTGGTGGGGGATGATCTGAGTAAATAGACCTGTTAGTCCAACCTCAGCTGTATGCTGACACAAAAATATTAATTAAAGGCTTGTACACAAATGAAAAATGCGAAAAAAGGCAACACAAATCCATCAAAATAGGGTTGTGCCATATCAGCCTGTCTGTTTTTAAGATAACCAATTTTCTTAACTTGATAACATGCATTTTTCTTAATGGGGTGGCATGTCTTACTGTAGACAGGTCCTACAGCATCTGATGTGGTGCTACAGAGGAAATTACTAATGAGGCTAGAAAAGATGCAGTTTAGTGCTGGAATTGTGAAACGGATTAGGAGCTAACAATGTTGTTCTGAGTAATGTCTTAAAAAAAATAATTATGAGCACAGGCTAGATCAGGTGCAAGAAAGGGCTGCTAGAGATTGGGGAATAGCAAGCCTGTCGTGGCAAAAGACTGGAACGGCTGCTTGTTTAGATGGTTAGAGAGGGGATACATGAGGAAGGTTAATCGTAAGGGAAAGAGAAAAAATACAGTTAAACCAGAGGACAGTACTGGCACAAGAACAATGAATAAACAAAAATTGCTCAGGAATAACATTAAGCTGGAGATGAACACAGACCCCAGCTGCTGGGAGTGCTGTTCTAGAGCAGCCCTTTGGCTGGGGAAGCGTAGCTGCAAAACCCAGTTCTAAGATGTAGCGTGATAAATTTTATGAAAAGATTCAATGATGTTGTATGATAGCAGTTGATCTGATTGTGTGTGTCAGGAGGTCTTTTCCAGTCTTAATATTTCTGTAATTTTAAAATTATTCATATGTGTAAGCGTTTGCAGGAACAAGGCTATGATTTTATAACAGTTACCTAACTTGTGTTACTGGAAACACATGTGCATAGCAGGTTATATGGTAATGTAGTTGGGCCTTTATCTCAAAATAAAATTATGGAGTGCAGTGCCATCTTATATTTGTCTAATATTTGTTGCAAGTCAGTGTGCAGCAGTAAACCAGCCATTATGGCCAGCCTTGCAGAAAATTCAGTGGTTTATTACTGGTCAATAAAGTCCTGCTGTATCCATCTTGGCATATACAAGTTTAAAACTAGTTTTTGTAATTTAATTTTCTGTGGGGCACAGGAGGTGCGATGCTTTGTTACCGAAGTGTCACCCAAGTATCTTAATGCTGGTTAAGGCAGAGTATTTAAATCTGCATCAAAAGCTTTAAAGCATGGCTGTTCTATCTGGATCTGTAGTTAAAACAACAGAGGAGCTTAGGTGGTGCTCCCTGCTCCCCCTCCTTGTTTTGTTTTGCCCATCTGATGGTTATTTATAGATAGTAAAGATATCTGCACTAGGATTTGGAAACATTTTATTCCCCTGAGGCCTGGTTGGAAATGACAAGAATTGGATTGTGAAATAAATGTAAGGTTTTTAACTTAGTTAGGGATTTGGTTTTAAAACCTGGGGCAGTAATATGGAATAGCAAAAAACAGGCTGTGGAGAAGACTTTGGGTTTTTATAAATTAATGCCTTTTCATAAAAAGATGTTATTGGAGATACTAAATTGCCCGAGTGCATAGTAACGAGCTATGCATAAGAATGAAGGGCAGGCGCCTATTGAATGTGTAGTTACAGAAAGAAGAAAAAAAAAAAAAAAGTATTGGTCGTTCAGAGGAAACCAGATACTGTGTCCGAGAGCGGGGCTTGCAGGGGGAGTGCTGAGAGGTGGCCGAACAGCCCTCCGAAGGTGAGAAGGAGGCATAATGTGAGCTTCAGAAAGTTAGTCTGAGTCTGGGGTGAAATAAACTGGCCAAAGGCAGAATGAGCTGAAAGTTCATTGTGGGAGCCTCATCCTTTTTCCCCAGCGAAGAGATCTAGAAGCATAGCTGCTTTCCCATTTATGGGCAATTAATTTCTCTCTCTGTGCAAATCTTCACAGAGAAACAATGGCTATAGAAACTTTTTTTTTTTTTTTTTTTTTTTAGATGTAGAAAATGTCATGCTTTATACTCCCCAAATTGGCCATGCTCCTTTTGTAAGGAAGAAGCGGCCCCGTGGCCTTAGGAAAGATGATGAGAGTGGGCGGCAGCTGCTGTAACCACTCACCCAGCTCCTCACTGTCCTTCTCCGAGGCGTCTCGGAAAGAAAGGGCAATGGGAGCAGAGGACGAGCCAAGAGCTGCCCGGTCAGGCTGGGTGGGTCGGAGGGTTGCGGATTAGGCACCCCTTACCTAAATTACAAAGTGCTGCACCTGCAAATTGTGCTAGATAATGATCCATGTATTAAGGTCTCGGAAAAAAAATAAAATGTTAAGTTTAACTGTTTCTGAGGGGGAGGAAATTACCAGTAACGACGGAAAGGCAGCTAGCCCAGAGCTAGGCTGAGGTAGCTGTTTGGTGGTGCGCAGCAGCACTACAGAAAAGGGAAAGATTAGAAATGCAAAAAACCCCCCATCTGTATGCATTGAAAATTGGGGGGTGGGTGGGAATTTGCGTAGCCCATCTCGGGTTTGAGCACTGTAACATCCTTATTTTTGAAACCTCGGAGGGAGGGGTTTTATCATTGCCGCCCTTTGGAGGAAGGTGGGAATCTTTTGTGGTTTGGGGATGTTAACTCTTTGGGAGCCCGGGTTTTGGGCCAGCGTCAACCTGGTGCAGTTTGGCATAGCGATGGCCGAAACCTCACGCGGTTTGCTATGGGGAGGTGTCCGTGTCGTGTGTGTGTGTCCCCCCCCAGCCACACCGTGTCTTCTAAGAATCAGCAGCGGGCTCTGGGGTGTCCGGTAACGCGTCCGGCATGCAGGGCCGGCGGGCTGAGCCGGCCGGCCTCTGTCCGGGCAGCTCTCCATCTGTCCCCGTCGGTCAGGGAGCAGATTCCTCCCCGAGAACAGGGAGGTTGGGCTTCCTAAAACGGGCACAACAACTGGCCTTGCCCAGCTTTGCCCCCTTCTCCCCGCTGCTCACTGTCCCCCCGTGGCAGAATTAATCC